AGCCCAGTCCTGAAAGTACCTGGCAGAGAGGGCAGGGTCCCCCTGGCTGAGATCTTGTCTGCGGGACAAGGCAGGCAGGCCACGGCCACCTCTGGGGCCTCTTCCCTTTTTCCTGCTCTGTTCTCGGGGCACCCTCCACCTCACCCAAGCTACTGATCAGCTGTGTGACCTTAGGCAGGTTGTTTAACTTCTCTGTGCTCCCTGCACCTCAATCAGATGTTTAACAGTAGATACCGTGGTGGGTTGTCGGAAGGATTGAGTGAATTAACAAGGGTACGGCACTGATAATAATGCCTATGATATAAGTGCGTATTCATATATGTACATGTTAGCTCTTCCTTTTTTTTTTTTTTTTGGCTTCGTATGTGATCCTCCCAGCAGCCCTGGAGTACTGTTGCGTTTAGGGTGATGGACTCCGCGCTGGAGAACGGGTGGGCAGTGAGTCTGCAGCATGACCATAGTGTGAGTCAGGGACCAGAGACGCTACCTCCCAGCCTCTCCGTCCTTCCAGAGTTCAGGCCACACTGTCTTGTGGGTGTTGTCCCTTTCTGGGCTGGTGTGTCAAGCCAGGGGATCCCTTAGGCTGGTCAGATGACAGAACAGGGTGAGGTGGAGGGAGGGCCTGGCTAAGGGTAGCCTCTGTGAATAGCCAGCCCCTGCCGAGGCCATGGGCTGTTACCATCACTGCCCCACTGGGGTGGTGGCTGGGGCGGGGTGTTGTCCACTCTCCGAGGAGACAGCCACCTCCCCCTCGGCCATCCACAGCTTGTGACCAGACACCCTCTTGCCCCAGGGAGAGCCTCCCCCTTTGTTCCCTCTGTGGGCCCCCTGCCTGGTGCTCGGGTCAGGAATTGGAGCCAAGACTGAGGTATGAGCTCCAAGAAAAACGTGTCCCAGCTAGAAAAAAGGAACACATTGAGTCTCTGATAAAGGCCGCTGCTAATTGTCAGGGTAGAGGGTTGGCTGCCTGGCCTGGCTGAGGGATGTTATCTTAGGGTACAGAGCAATCCAGCCCTCCCTCCTTCCCCCCTCCCTCTGTCTGGGGCCCCAGTTGCCCCCCCCCCCCAATCAGAGAAGAAGATGAGGATGATGATAAAATAATAGCTCACCCATACAGGGTGCCTTCGGCTCTCAAGGCCTTCCACATTTATTAGAGAAGCGGTGGCTCTCTTTGGAAGAGCGGGCCCGGGCCCCTCACCAACCTGTTTCCTACATGCTTGGGAAACTGCCAGCTGTCTGCAGCTCTGACCTTTGGGTGTGATGCCTTGTCATTGAGGAGAATGAAGGAGGTGACGCTTCCTTTTCTAGCGGTCTTAAACACGTTTTTAAAATTTTTTAAAACAAATCTTACCGTATTGCAGAAAATTGAGAAAACCAGAGCAAAAAAAAAATCTCATTTTTGTTACCACATAACCCGTTATGAAAACTCTGGTTGACCTTCAGTCTGTTAGCATCTGCCTGTTCTTTACAGAATTTAAAACTTGGGATATACATTTCACTGCTGCCTTCTGCTGCCCCCCCCAGGCAACATTGCCTGAGCATTTTTCCATGTCGCCACCTAGTCTTCCAGTGAACTCGAGCGCTGGAGTGTCAGCGTGTGTGAGTGGAGGGAAGGGGTGTCTGGCGTGGAGGTGGCGGCTGTGGGATGATCTCAGGAGGCCCTGGTTTTCTGTGGGGATGAGAGATGCTAACCTTGCTTTTCTCTGTTCTTCCACAGGTGGCTGCCCCCTGCATTCCTCCATCCAACCATGAATTGGTGGTGAGTGACAGTCCGTTCCCTACCCTGCCAGCCCCTCCTCCCCTTTTCGCTCTGCTCCCAGCTGCAGCTTACTTCAGACCCAGGCATGCTGGCAGCCCCCAAGGGTGCTGGGTAATTAAGTCAAGGGAAGGAGGGGGCCTTGTTCTGAAGCCTAAGCTGGACTGGGAGGAAATGAGTCATGAAGTCCCTTCTGATGGGATGCAGGGCCTCCTATTTCAATCTGGAGAGCCCTTGGAAAAACCCATAAAAGGGCATCTTGCCTGTCGCTGGGCCTGGCCAGGTGCCTGTTGTCCTGGGGCTTGCAGGACCAGGGGATGGCATCTCCTCCACCACCTGGTTCTGGGTCAGGTGCCCTTTGGCCGGAGGCGGGGAGATGGGTGGCACGACCCGCAGAGTTCACGTACCAGAGCGACTGCTCTCATTCGGGTGGCCTGTTCCAGCTCCAAGCTTTCGGGCTGGCTCTGTCTCTGCTCCCTCTCCATGTCCTCCACTCCTTTTGGAAGGAGGGCTTCTGGAAGCCCTTCCCCAGCAGGGCTTCCAGAAAAGCAAGGATCGGGGCAGGGCCCCTGTGAGTCGTGGGCTGCAGAGAGCAGCCTGCTTCAGACTGATCCCAGCTGGGCTGGTTTGGAGTGTTGGGAGCGGTGCCTCCTGCCCCGTCACTGCCTGCCTACCCTTCAGAAGTCCCTCCTGCTCCTCACCCTCTGCTGGAGGGTGGCAGGACCCTGGCGGCTGGAGGGGAGGGGCTCTGGTCTTCATGCCTGCAGGTGCGGGCACACACGTACGCACCTGTGTGTGGGGGGTGTGGCATGGAAGGCCCCTGTGATCACAATTTGGCCCACTGGAGCGGAAGGGCCAGTGATGACACTGATGTGGGTGGGGAACTGTGGGCGGGGACCTGTGGGCGGGGCAAGGGTGTTACGGGGCCCAGGCAGTTGCAGGTGTTTGCACGCCTGTGCAGTGACCTGCCTAGTCTGGATACTGGAGTCTCAGTCTGGCTGCCCAGTCTCCTTCTCTCCAACACCCATTTGCTGTGTGACAATGGCCCTGCCCTGCCTTCTTTCTGGGCATCAGTTTCCCTTTCTGTCAAAGGATGGGTTGCACTAGATGCTCGAAAGTCTTCTCCATGCTGATGAGAATTCCCTCCATTTAGGGTCATTAATGGAATGAAGTAAAAGTATGTGAAAGTGCTTGTGACTGTCAGACACTCCCTGCACCCAGAGTGGCGCCACCGCTGTGTGTGCGTGGGGCCCAGGCCCTGCGGACTGTTTCCCTCTTAGCGGGGCCCCTCCTCCCTGGTCTCACTGGGCCCAGGCCCTCTGGGCCTCAGCTCGGCCGGCTGAGCTGCTCCAGATGTGGGGTGTTATTTGCACACTGCCCAGTTGAAGGGCTTCTGACAGCAGCAGGGGCAGGGGGTGTGGGCGCTGCAGGGATGAGGCCAGAGTGCAGGCTCAGCTCCGAGCTGCCGGTGAGAAGTCTCTCTGGGATTTTGGAGGGACACCATGGAGGGCTGGTGGGAGGGGTCAGGTGGGGTGAGCGGATGTCTCATCACTCCAGCCCCACTGCCACTTTGCCCCTGAGAACAGAATGTCCTTGGCTGGTCTAGGATGGCTGGGGGGTGGGGGAGGGAGGTCTCGGGTTTAGGGATCTCCTGGCGGAAGCCAGATGCCTGGCTGCTGGGAGTCTCATGAGGTTTGTTTATGTGAGGAAGGGTCAGGGGTTGGGACGGGGGGACTGGGTTGGCATTCCAGCAGGCAGAACTGCAGTTAGTCCCAGGAGAGGCCCCTGCCTGAGCGAGGCCATGGAGTCTTCTCATCCCTGAGATGTTCCTCATTGTGTTGGAGGCCCTGACCTTAACAGAGGCTGGGTCAGCCACCTGGTGAAGTGGCTGTGGTGCCAGGTTGTGCTCCCAGAGGTTCCCCGACTTGAGTTGGAACTACCCCCACAAACAGAGGTCAAGAGCAGGGGAGTTTGACTACCTCCCTCTGGGTCCCAGTTCCCTGGTCCTAGGAATGTGACCCTGAACACACTGCTTAAGCTCTCTGGACCTCAGTTTCCCCGATGCAGATTGGGAGTTAGCAATAAGGGTAAGAGAATAAAAGGAGCGAATGGACCCGTTGAACTAATGTGCATTTAGAACCCTCCAGTGGCTGCCCACTGCACCTGGAGAAAAAGCCCCAGGTTGTTCCATTGGCTTGCACAGCCCTACAAGACATTTTCTCTCTGACCCCATCTCCTTCAAGAAGCTCTCTCCCTCCCTCACTCTGCTCCAGCTGCCTCCTGCTTCTTGCTGGTCTTTGAACATACCAGGCAGCTTGCTACCTCAGGGCTTTTGCAATGTGCTGTTCCCTCTGCCTGGAATGCTTTTCTTGCAAATGTGTTCAGGGCTTTCCTTCCCCCAGGTCTTACTCAATGTCAGCATTTTCCTTCTCCAACAACCCTCGCACCCTTCCCTGCTTTCTTTTCCCCACCCCCCCAGCATGCATCACCATCCAACAAGCTATGAGTCTTATTTACTTACCTTGTTTAAGAGGCACTGCCCCCCAGCAGCATGTACATTTCATGACAAGAGATTTTTATTTGTTATGTTCAGTGCTGTATCTCCACTGCCTCGCACATAATTAGGTACTCAGCACATGTTCACTGAGTGACTGAAAGACAGGCATTCAGCTGGATGCATGGTGCAGATTAGGTGCTCAATAAATGAGACAGCCTATGGGTGGTGAGGGTCTGCTGGGGGGCTTGCCTCCAGCTGGGAGCTCTCTGCAGTCCCCAGGGAGTGGAAAAGTGGCCCGGGGGAAATGGGAGAAAGTTTGGCTCCCCCCTGGGAGCACTCAGCACCTGTTTCCTCACGGCAGGCGAGGCAAGCGCTCTGAGCAGGTTCACAAGAGGGAGGAAAGGGCGGGCTGTATTCTTCCTTCCTTTTCCATTCTCTGCCTGCCCTTCAGCCTCTGCAGGGCTGGGCTCAGCCCTCCCAGCCCCCTCCCTCTTGCGGCACACTGTCTATCTGTCGTGTTTTCTCTAGGTCCCCAGCTCACCCGTCTTGCTTAAATCCTAATGTCCCCACTCCCAGGATAAGGACCGTCATCCCTGGGCACAGAATTTTGGCCCAGCCTCTGGCCCCTGCCAGCCAAACACATTTTCCAGCCTGTGCCAGGCCAGCCAGGGCAAAGTGGCTTAATCTTCAACCAGTGTTTTTGTCTCTTACTCAACAGATGTTGCCTAAGGCCTTGAGTAGAAGGGTCCTAGGGTCATCTGCCTCCTGTGGGGTCCCCAGGCGGGGGCAGGGTGGAGAGGGGAGACGCCTGTTTGCCGCAGACACTCCTGATCCTTGGAAAGAGCTGAAGCAGCTTTTCTCAACTTCTGAAAAATAAGAATCCAGAGGAACTTCCTGAGGGAGATAGCCAGATGGAGTGGCCACCGAGGTTGGCTGGATGTTGAGCCCTTCTGCACATGCAGCCTGGCAGCCAGGGGACCTGGACTGGGGGAGATGGACCAGCCCCACGGAGGGTGCTTGAAATGTCCTCGTGAGTCGGAGATCAGGGTGGGGTGTCTGTAGGAAGAGGAGGGCAGCGGGGGGTGGGAATGCCAGGCCGGCTTCACTTACAGTAGGAATCGAAGCAATAAGGGAAGGTTAACCCTCGTATGGAACTTTCTATTTGCCCACCTGTGTTCAGAAAGTTTTACAAAAATGAATTCACGTATCCCTCATCACAATGCAGTGAGGGAGGTGCCGTGATTATCCAACGTCACAGAGGCGGACCTGAGGCCTACGACCAGAGAGACGTCCAGAGGGGGGCCTGGGATTTCGACTCAGCTGTCTGGCACCTCAGGGTCCACCCTCGTAGCCACTGAGAATGACAAATGGCACTCTCGCTTGTCCAGCAGCTGTGGTCTTCCAAGCCCTTCTCCTGACCCCGGGGCCGTGGGAACCTGTGGTGACTCGTGCTGAAGGCTGGGCAGGGGCGAGCCGTCCCGGTCGGTAGGGGGAGCAGGCTGGGAGGAGCAGCACAGGGGCTCAGAAAGGCTCGGTGACTGGGTCCGAGTGGGGTTTGGGATTCCTGGTTCTGCTTTCTCCCCAGGGGCCCTGGTGCCTGTGCTGACGTCAATATCTGACTATTGGGGGGACTTCCGGATTTCTTCCTCTAAATGGCACCAGCCATGAGCTCGCCCGCCTGGCTTCTCTGTTTGCCACTGGGCCTGGGATTTAGGGGAGGGTCTGTCTACCCGTCTGTCTGCCATCCGTTCTACCAGCAAACATATCCGAATGCCTACTTGGTGCCAGGCTCTATTTTCACGCTGGAGCCTTGGGGCCCTTTGCTGCCAGAGCCAGGCCTTCCAGGAGACAGGTGGGCACGGACCAGGCGTGGAGTCACCGAAGTGAGAGGCCCTTCCATGCTGTCTAGTCAGATCCTCCTTCAAACAGGAGGAAACTGAGGCCCTGAGAGTTAAATACTAATTATATTTTTATTGCAGTGAAATGCACGTGACATTTACCATCTTAAGTATTTCTGAGTGCGCCTTTTGAACTATAACTGCCTCTTCCCCTCCCCCGGCAACCACCATGCTGACTCCCAGCAGCTCATAGAAGGTGAAATGGCACAATATTTGTTCCCTCGTGACTGGCTTATTTCGCTTAAGAACTGGCACCATGTCCTTGGCATCCGTCCCTGTGTCGTGGCGTGGGTCGGGATCCCCTCCTGACCCGCTGTGTGTGCAGACCACCCTTTGCTCATCCCGTCATCTGTCAGTGGGCACTTGGGTTATTTCCATGTTTTAGCTGCTGTGTGTAGAGCTGCTGAGAACATGAGTATGTAAATATCTCTTCCAGTCTCTACTTTCAGTTGTTCTTTTGGTACATACCCACAAGGGGAATTCTGGATCATATGGTCATTCTGGTTTTTTTGGGGGGGGACACACCATGCTGTTTCTCACAGTGCCTATATACCATTGTAGTCCCAGTGACAGTGTATAAAGGTACTAATTTCTTCACATCCTCTTGAAAACTTTTTATTTTATGTATTTTTTTCTATGATAGGTGTACTAATGGGTGTGAGGTGGTGGCCCTAAATTTTCAAATGACATGATCAAGGAGCCCCTGTGTCAGATGTGGGTGAGAGGGCCCCTTGCTGCCTTGTGGAAGATGAGAGGCTGTGAGTTACCTGGTACCGGGAAGGGCGTGGGGCCTCTCAGGCCGGCACTGCCTTCTTGCTCTCCATCCCGGAGAGCGGCTAGTGACCACTTTGGTTGGTTTAAACTCCAGGCCCTAATGTGTTTCGTCTGAGGGCACTGAGCAGGTCACGGGCCTCCGTCTTTGGGAGATTCTTGGAAGTGGAACACTGCCAGGAGAGAGGAGTCAGACAGAGCCTTGACTTTCAAAGAAGAGAGTCAACTGTGGGCATTGCGACCCAAAGAGGATTCCCAGAGCAGTGAGGGGGTTGGGGATTCCAGTTTGTGCCGCCGCTACAGTGGCTTAGTCCAGGGAGGGAAAATACTGGGGGCGGGGGCAGGTGCGGAATGAGAGTGAGAACATATCGAAGGACAAGTTGGCTTATTTTCTTTTGCTCTGTTAAGTGGAGCCTAGTAGGCGGAGGATCTTACAGAGAGGAGGAGGCTTGGGTTAAAGGGAAATGAGCCAGGTAACTCATTGGTTAGAGCGTCGTCCCAGTATGCCAAGGTTGCGAGTTCAGTCCTCTGTCAGGACACATGCATGAATCAACCAGGGAATGCATAAATAATTGGAACAACAAATTCATATTTCTCTCTTTCCTCTCTCTTTTAACTTAAAAAGTAAAAAAAGAAAAAGCACCCTAACACCAAAAATGGCCCAGGGGGCAATCTGTGGGAGTCGCTCTCTGTCCCCGGAGCACGTAACATGCTCACTGATGCCTGTTAGTGGTGAGGCAGGTGCCGATTCGAGCTTCCCTCCTTGGGGGGTGTCTGGGTGAAGTCCTCGGGACCCACCGAGGGCCTGCTCTCGGGCTGCACTGCGAACGAGCATGGTCCCTGGAGGTTAAGGCATCCGTGAACGTGCTGACCACCTCCCCTATGACCCTCACTAGGAGATGCCCCAGGATGGTGAAGGTCTGACCCTCTGGGAGCCATGCTCAAGGGAAAGAGAGAGAACTATGCTGTGGAAACAATTAGTGCTCTGCTAGGGCGTTCTGACCAGAGGTGGTCAGAGACCAGAGGTGGCCGTGGTGTCCAGGGAAGGAAGCGATCAGTTTGTGCTTTGGTGGTTGAGGAAGTCCGTGGCCTGTTCCAAGTCCGGTTTAGAATTTGAGCAAATGAAAGAGAGGAGGGAAGAAGGAGAGAGGATTTTGCAGAAGGTGGCAAGGCTGAAACAGAGAAGGGCCAGGGCCTTGGTATATATTACGAAGACTGATGGGGCTCCAGCAAATCCAGTGTCCTTGCTGGGGGTGAGAGCCCAGGCAGTGTTGTCTGACTTTGGCAACTCTGGCTGGGATGCTGGCGGGAATGGCCCGGGTGCGGAAACAGGTGAGAACAAGCATGGCGGGCAGTGCGGAAGTATGAGCAGAGGCCGCAGGTAGGGGAGAGTGGGAAAGGCAGCGGAATCCACCCGAGGAGGAAGAGGCCACTTAAGGGCGGAGTGCAAAAGTCATCGTGGGGAACTTGAACTTGATGAGCTAAGCACTGAGAGCCATTATGAGTCCTCGAGTGGGGAAATGACCCACAAGGGGGTTTGAGAGTGGGGAGTCAGCTGCCAGCTGTGGGGTGTGGCTCAGTGGTGAGGGGGCTGCCAGGAGGAGGGCTGGGGGAACCGATGAGCCTGGTGCAGGTGCTCCACACTGGGTGGGGAGGATCTGGGCAAGGCGACCAGAGATGAAGGACCCGTGAAGCACAGTTCCCTGGCAGACAGGTAGGAGAGCAGCATCCAGTGGGGAAAGTGGCAAGAGGGGATAAGAAATATTCCAGCCGGGCTGGAACAGCCTGGGGAGCATGTACGAGCCAGTCGGGTGGAATGCCCGTAGCTGCCCAGCCTCAGCCAGGACTTGGGTGCTTGTCCCTGAGGGTGAATTGAGAAGGGCCTGAGGACAGGAGTGGGCTTGCCCAGGCCCCTCCCCAGGAGGGGGGGCACGCAGGGAACATCAGGCATCACATTTCACTTAATCACATCCAGCTTGTTCTTTTTCTCTGGTGGCCTCGGCCTGCCTGGAAGGGGATGTGGTCCCTGGAGTAACTTCACCCTAACACTTGGGGGTCTCAGGCTGCTGGCTTCCCCTTCCCCTCCCACCCTGGCCCGACTGTGCTACCCCTCCAGCACCAGTCCCTTATGCCCCCATCAGCTTCCCCTCCCAGGATGTTGGGAAATAAACATGTGGTGAGGGGTGAACCCAGGCTTTGAGGTGCAGACCTGAGCCCTAATAGAGCTGCCCAGCCTCCCCAGAGACTTGATTTCCTCATTTACCAGAAGGGATTCAAGAGTGGTCGGTCTGCAGCTGCTGCAGCCACTGCTCTAGCCACTGCTCTAGCCACTGCTCTAGCTGTTCTGCTGTCATCTGTTGGTGGTCCCCCCAGACAGGCTGCGTGTGGGGTGTGCCATGTGCCAGTCTTGTCACGCCCCCTCTAAGTGCCCAGTAAATGGCGCCGTCCTGCCCTTCTCTTTTGCTTTCAGCCCCCTCCCTTCATCTGCTTAGGGTTCTATTTTTAGAACAAGTGAGCCTGGAATAACTTGCTCTGGGTCCTGGGGCTGAGGACATTCCAGCCCCTGCAGCCCTACCCACCGGCTCCCTTCCCCTCTTAACATGCAGCGCTGCCAGTGACCTCACAGTTCGTTGCCATGGAAGTAGATGTGATGTCATGGGGTCCTTTGGCCCTGAAAAACTGCCCAGATTCCAGGCATCCCAGGGGGCAAGAGTGGGGAGAGCTGGAGGGGTGGAGTCGGGAGGGTGTGAGGAATTTCTGGACGGAATGTTCCTCTGGAGGCTGAGTCCGCATTCTGCACCAGCCCCTCCCCCCAGCCCCAGGCTTGGGCACCTCCCCCACCCACCCCGCTATGGCCCTCTGTCTTTTCCTTCCTCCGAAACAGCCCACAGATACATTTTTTCCCAGCCCACCCTCCCTGCAGGCCACTGACATGGCCTACAGAGTGAAGGTCCGGGCAGTCTCCCAGCCACCCCAGCCTCTGAAAAATGGCCCCTGCTGGGGCCTGCACAGTTGGCTGTGGCCATGCGGGCTTGGAGAGGGCTTGGAGTGTTTTGGGGGAAAAATATGAAGAAAGGATGTGCAGCTTCCCTTATCCACACTGCGGCTCACAACCCCTCACATTCGGGAAGTTCTCTCTGATGTCTGATCTCAGCCTTTCCTGCTGCAGTCCATTTCCTCCTCTTCCTAGGGAAGTGTGCTGAGGACATCTCTTCCTCTGGAGGACCTGAGACAATTCATCTTTAAGTCTCAGAAAGCTTGTTTCCAACAGGAGGGCAGTTGATTTAAGGCTAAGAGCAGCTGAATGGGAATCATCTTCAGGGAGAGGAGACCGTGTGAAGGGGTAGATGTAAGGAGTAGGGTTCAAACACCAGCCCTCTTACCTACTAGCTGTGTGACCCTCAGTCTTCTCAACTGTAAAATGGGTCAGTGCTTACCTTGTGCACATTGGTTATGAATTTGGTTATGAGGGTTTGTGACCACTGAAGCAAAGAACCGAATACTGCATCCAGACTTGCATTAACACTTGATGAGTGATTGCTGTTACCATGTTAACATTGTGAAAGGCGTCTCCAGACCAGGGCCAGGAGGAGGTAGGCCAGTGAGGTGCTCCAGGTGCAAAATTCGAGGAGGCATTGCTCTCAGAATTGTGCTCATGCACTTGGAACGACCTGAGAATGAATACCTCCTTGAATTTTCTGCCCTTCGAGCCTCTCCCCAGTCCCTGCCTTGCTCCAGACTCCTGGGTTTGAGTTCCTAGAATAGAAGGACCCTCGAAGAGCAAAACTTGGTTGTCAAGTGACATCAAGTCCCAGTACTGCCACCTGCTCCTGAGCTGGATTTGAGTTGTGCTGCCCGAGGGAAAGGGGTGCCCTGAAAGACCTCCGATGTCGCGCAGCTGTGGTCAGCTGCCCTCCGCTTCGGAAAGCCTGGGGCCTTAAGATCCAGGTTTTATCCTGGGACTGAGCAACGGAAGGGGGCAGAAGGGGCAGTTCCTATCTGGGTTCCATCTGCTTTCTCCTTCTGCAGCTGAGCCTCAGGAGGAAGGAAGGGAAGAGCCCGCGGGGAGGTGCCCTGCTGACTTGCCTGCAGGCTGGCTGGGGGCGGGGCCACGGGGCTGCAAGGTGAGCTCAGCAGTGGGCTTGACAAGACTGGTACCCACCCAGTCCTGCCATTCACCTCACCCTGAGAGGCTAGGTGAGTCAGACCTCTCTGCAAGGCAGGGTCCTTATCTGTGAATTGGGGAGGGAGGAGATGCTATCTGAAGTCCCTCTCAGGGCTGTTCTGAGGAGTGCTGTGCAAGGATGCAGGGTGTGTATGTATACATTTGTGTGCACACGTGTTGTGGGGTGGGTGGGTGTGTCTGTGTGCTGAAGGGCCTCTGCCAGCCATTGGCACTCTGGGGATGCCACCTCAGGAGTCCACAGCTTGGCGTGGCCTGGGAGCTTCCCTATAGCATACCCCAGCCTCCCTGCAGGGCCTGGAGCAGGCTTGGCCTCAGGGCAGACCCACCCTCATGTTACCAGTCCCTGACTTTTCTCATTCCCCGCTGACCCAGAGCTGGCAGTTCCTGGGAAACAGAGAAGCAGGACTCCAGTCCCGGGAGAAACCGGGTGGAGGGGAGGGGTGGGGAGCACAGCGTGCATGCTGGGGGTGTTTGCAAACACTGCAGGAAGGCGCTGGGTGTTTAGGTCAGGAGGGGTTTTTGGAAATTTTTAGCTCTTCAGAAAGCATCTTGACCAGTAAGATGAAGGCATTTGATGGCTGGCAAGCGTCTTTCTGTGGCCCATCTCCAGCTGGCACGGGGAAAGGGGTGGGGGCCAAGAGGACGGTGCTCAGATGATTGTTGGCAGGGAGAGAAGTTTCTCTTGCACTGCTGAGGCCTGTGGTTTCTAATATTGACTCCAACTCCCTGGTCTGCTTCGAGCCAGACAGGGGAGGGGTGGGGCAGGAGGGTCAAGGTGGGGCAGGGTGGGCCCTGGGAGGGCCCGGGGAGTGTGCAGGGTGGAGAGGATAAATGACTGCTAGCGCTTTACTGAGCACTTCCTAAGTGCCAGGCCCTGTTCTAAGTGCTCAGTGTGCTTCCTCTCATTTGATTCTTACAACACAGAGCCAGTCTGTCCTGCTGAGGAGCAGCAGGGACGGAGTGGCCTGCTCGAGTTCACAGGGTTAGCAGTCGAGACAGTTGGGACGTGGCCCGGCAGTCCGCTGCTGACGCTGCTAGCTTAGACCAGTGCTTCTCAAAGTGTCGTCCCCACGCCTGGAACCCTGTTAGAAATGCACATTCTCAGGTCCCTCCAGATCAACCCTCTGGGGAGAGCCCAGCATCCGTGTGTCAACAGCCTCCAGTCGTTTCTGAGGCACCCTCAAGTTCAAGGCCCCCTGGCTCACATCCTGCTCTTTGGGAGAGTCCAGGCCTCCTAGGAGGCTTTACCCAGAGCAGGATGAGGGCCTGTGATTCCCTGGAGCAGGGGCTTCATTTCCAACTTCTCCATCTCACCCTCCTGCTGAACCACCCTACCTGTGCAGCCTGGGTCGGCAGACTGTGGAGACCCAGGGCTTTGGCCTTGGGAGAGCTGGGTGCATACAGAAGACCCCTGGGGTCTGCCCTCTGGAAGCATTCCTCTTCCCCCAGAGCACCAGAGAGGGGGTAGTCAGTCCCAGCCCATTACACAGCCCTGGGGCAGAAGAGACAGGTGGGGGTCAGAGGGCTAGGATTTCCCAGTGGGCTCATTTGCTCCCTGCTCAGTGGCCTGTGACTCAGGAGTGGGGGCTCTGGGCGGTGGCTGGGTGAGGATTAGGGCTGGACTGGGAGTGGGTGGAGTGTGTCACCCGTACTCCTCCAGAGAGCCATCCTCAGATTCCAGGGGAGCGGACCTGGGGGCTGGAGAGGCTGACTGGTCTACCTCCCCACCTCCTACCCCATTCCTGGACCCTGTCCTTTCTTCCTGACCCTGAACAGCTCAGAAGTTTCACCCCCTGGAAGGAAGCTTCGGTTTCAGCCACCGGTCTTCTAGGCAGCAGGGGTAAAGTCTGGGTCATTGCCAGAAAGAGTGTGGCAGCCTGCAGCTCCGCTGGCGGTCTTCCTCTGCGCCCGTCCCAGCCCGCTTCTCGCTGGTGCCAGGGCCTTTCCGTGGCCATCCTGTCAATCCCTCCGTCTTCAGACACCAGCAGTTCAGCTTCAGGCCCCGGGCTGGGGATGGCGCAGGCGCTTCCGACTCTGAGACGCTCTGTCTTAGCCTGGCCCATGCTCGTTCGGGAGAGGCTTGTTTCACGACCTTGACAGCTGTGTCCAAGTCTTTCTGCACGGTTCAAGGCCCCCTTTTAACCACTTCACTGAGTTAGAAACGCAGCCCTAGAAGCTGTGGTCGGGAGGCGGCCTTGGATTGGGAAGCTTCTCTCCTGTTCTGGAGAGTCCTAGGGACCTAGTTTTAAGGATGCCTTTAGCAGAAAGCACCTCTTTGGTCTGGGGAGCGAGGCTGTGGTCTGGGGAGCGAAGGGGGAGAGAGGCACTGGGGTGAGGGGCAGGATCAGTTGGCAGGTGTTTATCCATGGCCTGCTCTCCATTAATCACAGTCCCTGGTGTGAGAGATATGGCAACTGAATTGGTAAAAATGCTGCTTTGAATCTGTTTCGGAGGCAGATGGGATAAGAATCACAAATAAAGCAAGTCATATTCCTAGGATGCAATTATTCATATACTAATGACCATATAGATAAACACAAGACAGCAAGACTTAATGGAGTTGGGAGGTGGGAGAGAGAGTCCTCCTTGCTGGAGTGTTCCTGGAGGGCTTTTTGGAGGAGGGGAGCTTCTAGGAAGAGAAAGGGAGCTGTTCCACAAGGAAAGGCTTGGATGTGGGGGACAGAGAGGGGGTCTGCAGGGCCGGTCTGGATGGAGCAGAGCTTTGAGCATGAAAACTGAGGTCTCAGGGGCAGGGCCAACGGCGGGAGGCCTTGAGAGGCAGAGTTAGGATTCTGGCAGGCCTCCCATCCCATCCCTGGCTGCTGCGATTTCATACAAAGGTGGGGTTCAAAGTCCATTAGTAGCTGATGACTTGGGACCACTCATTTAACTTATGCAGATCTGTACCATTGGGCTCAAGAGTAATAATGGTACCTACCCCACAGGGCTCCTGAACGGGACAGTATTGATGGAAATGCCTGGCGTGTTGGGACAATGACTGTCCTTGCTCCTGGTTCCTTTATGAGGGATCAGCGCCTGCCAGAGTCAGAGGTCTGGGTGAGGTGTGTCAAGCTGGTTGTTGATAGTACCGATAGGATGCTTTTTATTTTCTAAACTCTGCCTCCCAGGGATGGCCAGGTTACATTCGAGTGCTGGGCTTGCATCATGTCCTGCCTCAGGAGGCATCCTTGTGGCCACCAGCCTGGGAGAGAAAGCCCGTCAGGGGATGTTTGTCCCAAGACCTCACGTTGCGTTTTCCCTTTGTTCACAGCCCATCAACACTGAGAGTGCACCGAAGAATGTAGTGGACGCGGTGAGTGGCTGTGGGCGGGCATGGTGGCAGGGGCAGCCTGGGCAGGCTGGAGAACGGAAGATGGAGTTGGGGAAAGTGAACAGATGTGTCTGGGGACATCCTTCTGGAGTAGATATGGGGAACTTGGGGGAAGTGGTGGGCATGATAAGAATAACCGTTGGGAGCTTGTGCATTTGGGAATGGATCGCTGGGAAGCTGGGCAAGCAGAGTGGGAGAGGCGGGGGTGGGAGCAGAGAAAGGCTAGTGGTTAGATGTGGGTTTCTCGATTACATATGGAGAAATTGAGAAAGCCAGGCGGATCTTTCCAAGTAGATCTTTCTGACTCAGCAGAGAGACAGACAGTTTCCTCAAGGCGGCTGCATAGAAGAGGAACAGAAAAAAGTCAGTGGGTCCTGCAGTGGGGAAACTGAGGTTAGCAACTGAGAGGCACCTCCTGGCAATGACCGGTGTTGCATGGATTGGAATGGAAGACTTGGGTTTAACTTCTGACTCCTCCAAGCTTCTAATCATGTGACTGTAGACAAGTCACAGACCTGTCTGTGCCTTAGTTTTCTCATCTGCAAAATGAGAGTGTTTCCCACAGTTGTCATTGGACACAGAGAAGAGGGTTTGATTAACTCTGAGAGAGACCTTTAGTGGACAAAGCAGTGTTAAACAATCAAGCCCCCCCCAGGCCCTTCTGCCCACCCCCTTACTCCACACCCCTGCCAAACCGAGCAGGTGCTAGACCTGGTGCCTTTTGGGTATGTTCCCTGACTCCCTCTCTGACTGCCTTGTCTCTGTCTGCAGGGAGAAGGCGCCTTCCGGGGTGGAAACACTCGGAAAAGTCTTGAGGAAGACGTAAGTATGGGGAGGGGAAGAGAAGGTTGTGGCTGGGCCCCTGGTGCTCACAGGGAATGGGGGTGGGCGGCTGATGTCTCACACCTATCTTGTTGGGTAGGGTATCCTTCTCCTCTCCCAAAGGGCAGGCAGGGGTTGTCCATCTTGGTTGCTGAGCTGGGGAGGAGGGGCTGAGATGGTGAGCAGGCCCGCTCTACTTATACACTGGGCCTCAGTCTTGGCCTTGGCCTCCTGGTCGGCTGGGTCCAGAGGTCATTTGCCCATTACTTTGCCAGGGTGGGAGGGTGGAAGGGGGAGGGCTCCGTGAGGCCGGCCTGGGTGGTAAGTGAGTAGTCACCAAGGTATGGGCAAGGGGACTGAGCAACACTGTAGTAAGAGGGACCAAGGGCAGAGATGAAGGGGGACTCTTGAGCCCTTAGAGGGTCATTGGACCTTGGAGAATTGCAGGCTCTGCTTCTTTGGAGAAAGAAGTCTTTGAAAATGGCAGAATCCTTTGTGTGGCTTTAATGCCATTGATTCAGGAGGAAGCTGGAAGGAGGGCCCGCTGGTCCGTCCTGCTCCTCCTGCCACTGCCGTGCATTTTTGGTGGAAGTCAATGAGCACATTCCTTAAATGGAAGGACCCCAGCAGGGGCCAGAGGGGGCTCTCCCAGGACCCTGCTTTGAGCGAGGCTAGTGTCGAGCTCATCCTCACACTCTGGGAGCAGATGCCCAACAGAGCTGGCCCTTTCCCTTCCTTCCCTGCCCTCCTTGGACAGTTTGCCCCTCTGCTGGCCCCTCCACCCTTGCCCGCCCCAATCTGCAGAGGAACAGGGAGTGGTTTTGGCGGTTGGCACAGGGGGAGCTGTTGATGGCATGAGGCCCTATCATCTGACAGCTGCCTGACCCACGGTGGGGAGGGCCCCAGAGGGAGGTGCTGGGGTGGCAGGAGGCAGCTTCTGCAGGCGGCAGCACTTCTGCGGCGAGCCCACCACCACAGCCACAGTGCGCGGGGAGGCGTCCTGCAGGAGGAGCCGGAGCATGCCTCTCAGAGTAGTGGGGAAGGCTCTGTTCAAGGTATGGTGGGCCCTGTGGGCGCAGAGCGTTCCAGCTGGGGAGGAGCCCTGTCCCAGTCTGTGATGTTTCTGGGGCTGGGGTGCAGGGAGATTTTAATTCTTTGTGGACCTGAGGATTAACGAACGAGCTTGATGCGCACAAAGCATAGGCTATGTGCTCAATAAATGGTAGCTATTCTTGTGACTGTTATTTTGACCATGGGCCAGGAGCTGGTATTGTTGGATACTCATGACATCCCCTGTGGCAGATACTGTGACCCTATTTTGTAGATGAGTGCACAGAGGCTTAGGGGGGCTCAATGACTCAATGCCTTATCCATTTTTTCCTGGGACCACTGCTTAGATCTGGTGTTACCTGGGACTCCCAGCCCTTGGCTCAGGGACAGGGTAATGGTGTGTGAACCAAGACTTGTAGCTGATGTTCTAGAACCTCTTATAAGTCAGGTCCTAGAGCTGCTGCTCCCACAACCCCTGCCTGGGTCAGACAGACCCCACAGTAAGAGAGAGTGAAGTTAGACTTCATGACAGAGTTTATGACACAGGGTGTGTATGGCTTTGGTCCTGGGGAAGTAAAGTTGGCCCTTTCGTTGTGACTGGAGTTGTTTTTTTTTGTTGGGGGGTGGGTTTTGTTATCTGGGATGAATGTATAAGGGCTGGATAGGGTGGCGCCTTGTCTGGATGTGGGAGGAGGGACAAGAGGAGCTTTGGTTGTTAGTCTAGTCTAAGGAGTGCAGGGAAGGTGAGGCCGATTCCACATAGCCCAATGTGGGCTATGGTCTCTGCCCACATTGTAAGCGCTCCTGGTCTGCAATTAATGCTCAAGTTTTGGAGGCAATGAGTTCTTGTAGCACAGTCAGTCCACTTAGCCAGGGTGAGCTGGAGTCTTCACTATCGGAGGAACCCACAGAATGGCCTGTGTAGTGCACAGAAGGGGAGGAAACCCAAGTTTTAGGTCCAGTACACCTGTTTGGGGTTGGATAGCTTCGGGGTGACTGAGTCACTCCCCTGCCCAGCCGGCGGGCTGTCCTGCTGTCTGCCCCAGGTGAGGGGACCCGTTTTCAAGGTCACATCGTTGAAGCACTGGGCCTGCTGCTGGGATAAGATGCCTGTTTGTTGAGCCGTTTTCCCTTCTCTGGCCCATGGCCCAGGATCCGGGGCAGGAATGGCTGTTTTCCTCTGCTGGTTGGCTTGTAGCGGAGTCTGTGGATGGTGTGCTGTGTCGCACTTTGTTGTGGAAAAATCCAGGCTGGTGGGCAGGAAGGAGAGAGGAAGGGGTGTGGCTGGAGGGGCTGGTGTTTAGGGAGGGGTGGCCAGTGCCCCCAGAGGAGACATAGGAATGGGGATAGGCTCCTGACGTAGGTTCGTCACCAATCTCTGGCTGCCTGACATGGCCCCTGGTATTGCTTACGGACCCTCCTCCCAACTGTGTCCCCTGGGGACCGGGGCTCAGGAAACAGCTTTTCTTTTGGTCCTGAGCTGTTATGTTTGGTCTGCGGACCTCAAAGGAAGGCAGGACTCTTCCCACACAGTGGCCGCTCTAAAGCAACCCCACCCAAGTCCCGGCGTTTCTGCTTCTTGCTGTATGGTGGGGGAGAGGGTGGGTAAGACAGCCTAGGGTCACAGCACTTGAGTGCTCAGAATGGCTGAGTGGTGATCAACAGTGAGGACCAAGGCAAAAAGGGTTGGCTGGATCTGCAGTAGGAAGGGTGAGGGCTGGACACCAGGAAGGCCTTAACTGATAGTGAGAGAAGTAAGACCCTATTTTGGGAGGCTGCAGAATTTTCTTTGACGATGTCCTTTCAGGAAAGAAGAGACTATTTTGGTAACAATAGGGGAGAGTTCTTGGTGCACAGAAAGCTGGATCAAAAGTCCTATTATTGATCTTTGCCCTGGGAGGGGCTGGGAGGAAGTTCAAAACCAGTGAGTAAAGGGCTTTGAGAGCCTCGGTGTGGAAAAGAATGGGATTACAGGAAGACAGAGAGCTTATTTTTCTTTTCAAAATAAAATCTTTGTAGAGCCCTCTGGCAGTTTTCTCTAAGAGCTCTAAGTGAGCAGGGAAATGATGTGAAATCACGTGAGACTGTGCTGGACCCATTTCACAGATAAGTGAGATCAGGGGCTCCGTGGACGAGTACCTTTCTTCATAGATTATAAGCTCGCTGAGGTCAGGGCCCTGGCCTCTCCTCCTCTGGTCCCTGGTGCCTTGGATGCTGCCTAACACATAGCCTGCAGCACTCAGTGAAAGTCCCCGGAAGGAGCGCGTGCGCTCAGGGCTGGGCGCAGAGATGACCACACTCGCCACTGTCTCCCAGCCCTCCTGAAACAAGCGTGCATGATTAGGCACGCTGGAAAATGCCGGTTTCTAGCCTCCTCGTGGGTGAGGTCACCTGTGTGTTTTTTTGAGCGTTAGGCTGTGTTTGCTCACAGGCTCCCTCCCTGCCTCCCCCCCCACCCCATGCCCGTTCGTGGTTTTCTGGTTCTCCGGTTCTCCCTGTGGCTCTGTGTCCACCAACACTCGGACGTGTCACCCATGCATGTGTGCGTTCTGCCAGCGAGCGTCACATGCCCCCAAAGTTTGCAGAAAACAGGAAGCCCCGTCAGTTAGAGGGCAGCCCAGTGATTCATCAGGGGATGACCGTCCGGCTGTTCATCCCCGTCCTCTATGGTGGGGTCTCTGTCCGGGGCGGCTTCCTCCCTGCCCGCCCCTTCCCCGCTGGCCTGGTGGAGCAGAGCGGGCTTGGACTTTGTCTTATCACCTCTGGAGGTGGCATGGCCAGACTCTGTTGGGGCCAAGTTTTTGTTTATCTTCCCTGGCTTTTTTGGGGTGGGGAGGCTAAAGAATGTGGAGTGTTGTAATGTTGGGAAGGGGGGTGGGGAAGCGGGAGCCAGCTCTGCTGCCCAGCTCATCCTTCTCACCCCTGTGCTGTGCAAGCTCCAGGCCCCCCTCAGCCCCCTGGTCCCCTTCCCAAGCACCTCTCGGTAGCCCCCTGTCTCCCTGTGCTTCCTGCGCCTGGACCTGTGGCTCTGGCCACACCTCATGCCTTGGCTACAGTTGTGGCTTCCAGTTGTTTGAAGCAGCTGTGGTGGCCTCCTCCAAAAGTGGCTGTGGATCAGCAACAGATGAAGCCCGAGGGGCTATTTATAGCAGGGTGGCCCCGGGGCCTGGAGCAGGGCCTGCGGCCTGGGGAGGCTCAGTGACTCCTCGTCAGGACCAGCAGAATGGAGATGGATGAAGTGCTGGGTTTCTGCGTTCCTCTGGGTGGGTAGTTTTGGAACAGCCTGGTCTGGGGCTTGAAAACCAAACACAACCCTCCTTACCCCCCCCCCCCCGCCCATGCCTGACTCATGCAAGCCCAAGTCCTCAGGGCCAGGAGAGCTGTGGAGACAGAGAAACTTTCCGCCCCGACAGCCCCACTTGGCTGTTTCCTCCTGCTGCTGCCCGCCGAGGCTGAGCTGCAGAGCTGGGTGGGAGCCCAGGCAGAGGGGACTCTGGGCACAGCCTCCTCCCATCCATCCTCACGGGCTGATGGATGGAGGGTCCTCATCGGAGGGGGGCTGCTGACTTTGGGCTCAGTGGGGAGCTGGGCCCCCAAGCCCTCACTCTCCCGCCTCGTATGCTTCGTGGGGCCTGGAGGAGGCTGAAGGGGGCTTCTGTTCTTGAGGTCAAGCCCGAGGTCTGAGGGTGAATTCTGCCCGTCGTCAGGACTTGGGGGTGAGTCGCTGTTGCCTCAGTTGCTCCCCTCATTGGCGGACTGTGATCCCGTCTTCTCTAAGAGGTGCTTGCAACTTGGTGGTTGGGAATGGCTGGTTTCTGGGAGGCCCGGGGATGTTTGGAAAGTGCCAGTAGGCTCAGAGGGCTCCTGTTAGGCCTGGGATTCTAGAAGTCGCGTGTCCAGTTCTGCATCGTGTAAGGAGGCTGAGAGGATGGCGGCTGGTGGCAGAGGTGAGGCAGGGCTTTGATTTTCTGTAGAGGCGGAGGCAGGATTATATCTTTTAACCGCCCTTCTCATTGTACTTGATGTAGTAACAGTAGCAACATACACGCGCTGTATATGTGTAATTCCTTTTAATCTTCAAACAACCCATAGGGTTGTCCCACTCTACGTGGGCATTGCCGGGGCTCGGAGTGGTGAGCTATACAGGGCAGCCCTGCCAGGTGCTGTGGGGCTCTAAGCCCGAGCTTTCCTCACAGCACCGCCGGGTGCCTCGGAGTGTTTTGGACACCAGCTTGGGTCTGTTTGCCTCGTTTTGTGCAAGTCGACAACCTGGAAGAGGGAGTGGGTGAGGGGGTAACACGCAATGAGCGGTGGGTCCTCAGGAGCATGACTTGCTGCCGTAAGCTGCTCCCAGCTGGTGTACGTCATGCCTGGCTGCTCTTGTCTCCAAACAATCGATCGAAGGACTTGGGGTTGCTGCTTCACAGGAGAGAAGTGTGGGGTGATGGTGGTCGGAGGAGCAAGGTGTGGAGCCGGAGAGTTGTGGACCCTCACCTTCCCTTCTTTCATGCTTGCGGTCTATGTTCTCCCCTTGGGCTTCCTATTATGGTGGCCAGTCAATCAGGATGAAATGAGTTTCCATCAATTCAGTACTGTTTTATTGAGCGAGTGCTCAGTACAGATGGCACCAGCCCAGGCGTGGTCCATTTCTGAGCATCTGGGGTTTATCCTTGTGGGGGAAAGGAACGCCTGTCTCTTTGGGGGCTCACACACACGCGCAGGCACACTCACCTGGAATTGGCACTGATTGCTTTGGGCTTTGGGCTGCTTTGTTGCTGGGGTGTTAGGGTGCCTGGGCTGGAATGTGGGCAGAGAAAGAAGAGGATCTGTGTTTGCCCATGACCCTGACTGTGCCCGTGGGCAGCTCTCTGCCTGCCTCCTCCATAATGCTGCTTCTCATTTCTCTTTCCTAGGGCTCCACCAGAGTCACCCCGAGTGTCCAGCCCCATCCCCAGCCTATCAGGTATGCCTCGCTATCAGGGGCACAGGGTGGGGGTGCTGGCAGTGAGGTCACTGCGGGTGTTCCCTTCAAGTCATGCCTTTGGGTCTCTGAGACCAAGCTCATGACGCCAGTGGTAGGGGGCATGGGCAGTCGTGAAAGCCTCAGCCAGAGGGTGCAGATAAATGCCCCTTGGCAAAGGTCATGTTCTGAGTTCTAGCTGGAAGCCAGCCTTGAGCTGAATTCTTTACTGACTTGCATGATCTCATCTAGTCCTTGCAAAACACCTGCATGGTAAATGTTTTATTCCCATTTGGCAGATGAAGAAACTGAGGTTCAGAGAGATGAGGTGACTTATTCAAGGTCACACACGGGGACTCGGCGCCTTGCTGACCCAGAGCCTCTTTTCCCTGCATCCAGGTTCTCTGGCTTGGGCCTTTCCCTCTCTGCCTCACCTTCCCCCATAAGGCTCCAGAGATAAGTGAGAATTTGGGCCCAGGAAGACGGGGCCTAAACTAGAGGTGGCCTGGTATGTGGCTGAAGCCCCCAACATGTTGTGGCCCAGCTGCCCACTGCCCACAGACCTGATCTGCTCTTTAGAAGACTCCTCCCTCCCCTGACAGCTGAGAAGCACCTCCTGGTGGGTGGGCACTTGGTGCAGTGCTGAGGTTGTCAGGTGGTGGCGCCTTTCACCTGCGGTAGGTAGGGACCTGAGGCCGGAACCCCACCTCCAAAGGCTGCAGTGAGACGCTTATCTTTGGGGTGAGGAATGGCGGGGTCAGAGCTCAAATTCACACTGTGCTCCTCACTGCAGCCTGTTGGCCCTTCCACCCTTGGTCCCTGTCATCCCCACCACAGAGAAGTCTCATTGCCCCTGGCTCCTCCATCGCCAAACCCCACACACACAGCTGGGCTCAGAGTTAACCCTGGTTGAGACCAGGATTCTGCCCCTGTGCTGGATGCCCTTCTCAGCGCCGCCCCCTCACTTTGAAATGCCCTGGTGTATTCCTCCTGCTGCCCCTCCAGTCACAGCAGTGAAAGGTTGTCAAAATGAAATGTGAGTGTTGCCCACCTCGGATAGAGAGGGGAAGCCAGACACTACGAGGCTAGTGATGGGGTAGGAAGGTGTGCAGGTGGGGAGGGTGTACGGTAACCCCAGAAGCTACAGGTGGGCTTCAGAATGGAATTCCAGTGTCACAAGATCCATTTCCCCTTCCCCATCAGCACCCCGGTGGGCACCTTGGACCCTCCCCCTGGAAGAGAAGCTGGGTGACGTACCAAGATGTGGCCCCTTACCTCCCCTTATCCAGTGCCCGGCCCAGGGGGCTCTCCTCCTCTCCTGGGAGCTGAGGTGGTGCCGGGCTTCTGGGGGCCACCCGCCACTGCTGTTAGCAGCAAAGGCTCTGCACCCTCTGCTTCCTGGGCCCTTAGAAATCAGGGAGGCTGCTGCCACAGAGCAGCCCCGGCCGTGGTGGGAACTGCCAGAGGTGGGGAGAGAGCCAGGGCACAAAGGGCAGGAGCTGGCCTGCCTGCGGGGAGGGCTGGAATGCTCACCGAGGTCTGGCTTACCTGGAGCCCAGGTGAGCATGTCACCTGAGCCGCCCCTTCCCCTGAGAGGCCTCCCTGCCCACTGCGCAGCTCCAGAGCTGGGGAGGTCAGCAGAAGGCTCAGCCTGGGATGCTGGAGAGCACCCGGCTCAGCCTCTCCTTCCTCTTCTGGAGCTGTCCCAGGACCCTTTGAGACACTTCTGCCAGACCAGGTGGCTGCTGTGTGTCGCGAGGTACAGCTGGACTCCTGGGGCCCTGGCTCTGACTTCTGAGATCAAGGATGAAGGCAGTGCCAACAGAATTGATGGAACCTAGGATTGGTGTCATCACCGTTTGGTTCTAACATGGCCTGTGATCGTTGCCAGCCCCTGCCTGGCTCTGTTCTCTCTGGGCCCCGGGCTGGCCTTGCTGGCTGCACTGGCCTTGTCAGGGGCAGCCTCTGATCTTGGCTCTGGACCAGGGAGCAGCCCAGCTTTCCTGGGATGGATATGGAGGCCATGCACAGTGTGTAAGGGGAACAGATATATCAGTTCCTTGCCCTAGGACTCTAGAGTCTGATCTAGAACCCTCTCTCTGCTAGTCTCCCCAGAAACATGAGTGTGAGCCGGACCATGGAGGACAGTTGTGAGCTGGACCTGGTATACGTCACAGAGAGGATCATCGCCGTCTCCTTCCCCAGCACAGCCAACGAGGAGAACTTCCGGAGCAACCTGCGTGAGGTGGCCCAGATGCTCAAGTCCAAACATGGAGGCAACTACCTGGTGAGGACGGCCCCTCACTCGCTCTTCCAGCACTCCTCTGCCCTTTCTGCTTGCCACCCCCTGCTGGGGTCCCGGCCCACTCACCCTGGGCCAGCTCTTTGTTCTTTCTTCATTCATGTGCTCTTGGCCCTGGTTGTCTCTCGTGGCCGGAATCTTCACTCCTACTCTAGCCCAACCCTGCTGTAAGGAGTACGTGCAGCTGGAATGTGGCATCTGGAACCAAGTCACGTGTGCCGGTGCGCACATGCATCATGTCTTTGTATGTGTGCCCGTATATGTATATGAGTGCATGTGTGTGTGCCCATGTGTGTGTGAGTGCATATGTGTTGACCAGGTGAAGCGAGTAACAATAAGAGCTCATGTTTTGAGTACTTACTACAAGCCAGGTCCTGTTCCACCCGCTTCCACGTACTGACCCTTCAGGACAGCCCTAGAAATCAGGTTTTGTCACAGCCCAGAGAGGTGGGGCATCTGCTTGAGTTCACAGTGTCAGGAAGTGGCAGGCCTGGCACATTGTCAGCACCTCTGAGAAGTCGCAGGGCAGAGATGTGGCAGAGTGTGTCCGAAGGGGCCTTGTGTTGCTGGCAGTGGGACTGTACCTGGCCCAGGAGAACCGCCTCACAAATGTGGATGGAGTGGCCGCCAGCGGTCTCCTCTAATGTCAGAGAGGCAGCCGGGGGGATGGGCCAATCCTGGCCCCAGAGGAAGGCCCAGGTCCTCTTTACAGGGAGGTACATGTGGGCTGGACCTGTAGAGTGGACTGTGCAGCCTCAAGGGGCTGCCTTGGATGTTCGCACAGCGGCAGCCGTAGGAAGCTGTATTAGGAGGCTGGGGCTGCTGTAATGAATTACCGCACATTAGGGGACTTAAAACAATGGAATTCAATTTCTCACATCCGGAGGCCAGATCGGAGTGTTGGCAGGGCCACGTTCCCTCTGAATCCTGGAGGGGAACAGCCTGCCTTGCCTCTTCCCTGCGGCTGGTGGCTCTGGTGTCTTTGGTGACCCTTGGCTTGTAGCTTTATGTAGCTCCAGTCTCTGCCCCCATCACCACATGGCCTTCCTTCTTTCCTGTGACTCTCTGTGTGTCCTTTCTTCCTCTTATAAGGACACCAGCCATTGGACTCAGGGCCCACCCTGAATCCAGGGTGAGCTCATCTCTAGATCCTTAACTACTTACATCAGCAGAGGCCCTATTTCCAAATAAGGTCACATTCTGAAGTTCCGGGTGGATGTGAATTTTTGTGGGACACTATTCAACCCACTACAGACACCCATCCATCAATTGTGTTGGGCTTTGTTAAGAGCTTGGCTTTAAACATCAGAAAGTCCTGGGTTCAAATGCGGGCTCTGTTCTTACTAGGTAGCTGATCTTGGCCACTTAGCCTCACCAAACCTTAAGATCCCCATCTGTAAAATGGGCCTAATAATACTACCCACCTCTTGTGGCTGTTGAGAGAATGAAGCCACCTGATACACGTGAAGTTCTCAGCACAGGATGACAGGTAGTGGATAATCGAGTGGTAGCTAATATTAATGTAGTAGAGCATGTTCCCTAATGGGGCTCAAACATGGACTAAACGCCATCTAAGGTCCTTCCTGACTTTGGGAGTCCAAGATTTCATGGGCCTGTGCCAACATTCCTCTATTCTGTCTGTTCCAGACTGTGGGGTCCTTTTTCCTCCCCAGACACAGTGCAGTGGTCTTTGAGGTGTGAGGTGGAGGTGGGGACAGGAATTCCAGAGATTGGGGGATTCTCATGGGATGTGGTTAGGTATTGGACAGCATGCGTTGAGGTCTGAGAGGGTCCATCTGGGATGGTTTGCAGCCTCCTATGGGGGTGTCTGACCACAGAGCCATTGTACCTTCAGGGGGTGAGGTTCTGAAGTCCACCTGTGAGATAGGAACCAGAGAGAAGGCCAAATACTTAACACTGGACACCACAAGGTTCCATTCAGTATGGGGAGATGGCCACCTTGGGGGTGGCACGTGGGACCCAAGACAGGTTCCATCCCCTTCTCGTCTTTAGTTCTGGACGTCCCCTCACTGAGGGGTGTGGCTGAGTGTCCACACTTCTCTCTCCCCACCCTCTTTATCCTGAGAACCTACAGTCGAGTTCCTGTTGGTCAGTGTGGGTGTCTGATGGGATGTCACGTTTGCTCACGCGTGGGCAGATTCCCAGCAGGGGTGAGAGCCGCAGGTGAGCCTTTTCACGATCTCTTCCTTTTCTTCCTTCCAGCTTTTTAACCTCTCTGAGCGGAGACCTGACATCACGAAGCTCCACACCAAGGTGAGTCCATGCCGGGTGGGGGTGGGGGCTTCCACCTGCCTGGGAGGGAGAGAGAGATAACAGACAGGCCCCCTCTCCCCGAAGTTCCCACATTAGAGTTTGGGAAGAGTGCTGTGACAATTTGCAAAGTCTAGTGTAGTGCCATCTCCTCTTCGGAAAATGAGAAAGGATCTGTTCATTGTTTCCATAATACAAATCACAACAAACAAAACTCAATGCGGCGATTTCCACCCAGGTCTGCCTCCCCTGGGGAGCACGTAGCCTCTCTGGGGTGAGGCTGGAGCTGTGAGATTTTTAGTTTTATTGAAAGGCACTTTGGATTTAAACTGGCTGGGAATAGCCAATGTAGACCTTCCTACCGCCCGCTCTCGCTCGCTTGCCTGGTGGGCGGTGTGCAGCGCTTGGCCTGGTGCCAGCTCCTGGCTCCTGGATTCTGGTGCCTTTGCTGTGTGTGACCCTGGGGAAGTGACATACTTCTCTGGGCCTCAGTCTGCACCTCTGAAAGTGGACAGGCTGGATTACATGCACTCTTTGGGCCCTTCTAAGCAGAAGTTCTCTTGCTTTAGAGCTCCGTGAGTTTAGAAAATTTTGAGGAGCCTGGAGAGTACTGCTTAGGCCTGCCCTCTGTCTCCATCAGCTTCTCTGGGCTGCCTGAAAAAGTCAATGGTGCACGTGGCCAGGGCCTGGAAAACAGCCACGGCCAGCCAGGAGCCCTTTGCTCTGTCCTCCTTTGTCCTGAGTTAGGCCTTGGGGTTGTGTGTGGGGTCAGAACTTGTGGGGAGTGCTGGGGGTCCTGTTACATCATGAAGTCATTGTCCCCAAGCCTTTGTTTTACACACATATAAAAACTGAGGCTGGGAGAAGGGCCATGACTGGCCAGAGGCCCCACAGTGAGCCAGTGTCAGAACTGAGACTCAGGCACAGGGCGTCTAGTCCTGGCCACTGTTCTTTGTCTCCACACCCCCAATCCCCAGCTGGGCTGATGGGCAGGGCAGTAACCGAGGCCTAGCAGCTGGTGACCACTGCCCCGGTACTGTCATGGGGGGTGTGTGCTGCCCCCACTGCCTGGGGACTGTCCGGGCGTCTGCCACCTCTCACTCCTGGCTGGGCCTCAGGTGCTGGAATTTGGCTGGCCTGACCTCCACACCCCAGCCCTGGAGAAGATCTGCAGCGTCTGCAAGGCCATGGACACTTGGCTCAATGCAGACCCCCACAATGTCGTCGTTCTACACAACAAGGTCAGAGCGGGGGCCGCAGGGTGTGTGAGTGTGTGTCTGTGTGTGCACATGCGTGAAGACACCCTTGGATGAGGGCTTATACCTTCCTGTGTCCTTGGGTGTGTGAGTGTGTAAGTCCGTATGTATTCTCCTTTCTAGAGCATGATAGATTCTGTCCCAGGGGCTGTGGGGTACCAGCTTGTAGGACCCTTAAGGGTGGTGGGTGATCAGCTGTTTCTTCTGAGGTCCGGCCCCCACTTCCCTCCCTTTCTCATATTCTCTTTTTCCTCCTATTCTCCCTTAGAACTATACGCTTCTCTCCAGCCCCTGCCCCCTTTCCTCCAAGTTCTGAATGGACCCTAAAGCAGTAGGCTGGTTTTACAAATAAAGGCTTTTGTGTCTGGGGACTCTTTCAGGGAAACCGAGGCAGAATAGGAGTTGTCATTGCCGCGTACATGCACTACAGCAACATTTCAGCCAGGTAAGAGGGCCTCTGAGCCGCCCCTTCTCGGAATGTTGACAGCAGAAACCCCCTCTCCACCCCACCAGGACCTGTCTCTTCCTTGGGGCTGGAGGATGAAGGCGGAGGGGATGAGAGGTGCTTAGGATGAGGGAGCGCCCTGCGAAGGAAGGTACCTAGCCGCATCTCGGGCAGGGGCCTGTGGACAGAGGGCAGGAGGGAGGGGAGTCCATCCCTCCATTGTAGGTCCTGGTGGGGCAGCCTCGGGGGCCAGGCCCAGCCATGGACAGTCCATCTAGCCAGCTTCATGGGCCACTTTTTCTTGCCAGACTGCTTTCTGTTTCCCTGGGTGAGCAGGAAGGGTGTCAGAAAGAAATGCTGGATCAGATCTGGGTCCAGCAGAACCACCTAGAGATCTTCTCACCCGTCCTCCTGTCTCTGGACAGCAGGGCCCTTTCCCATGAGGCGTTTTGGAGCAAGATTGGTAAACAGCAGTGGAGGAGTCCCATTTTGGTTCCATTTTGCAGAGGCAGAGGAACCCACCCATGCATCTGTTTATTCACTCGACAGTGGTTACTGACCAGCCATGACGTTGTTCTGGGTGCTGGGAATACGGCAGTGGGCAAAGCCAAGCCGCTGTCCTTATGGACATTAAAGAAACAAGTATATCAGTAATAGCAGGTGATAAGTCCTGTGAAAGAATGGGGACCACAGCATGACAGAGGTCAGAGGAGGCCTCTGGGGAAGGTGGTAATGTGAGCAGAGACCCGCATTAAGTGGAGGAGGGAGGGATGGGCTGAGTCATGTAAAGTCTGGGAGAGAACTTTGCAGGCAGAGAGAGAAGAAAGGCCCAAGGCATGTGGTGGGAACGCATGCCGGGGCTGGCGTGTTTTGAGCTGAGTGAGTGAGGGGATAAGGAGTAGGAAGTAAAACTGGGGGGGTGGCAGAGCCTGGGAGCCTTGTAGGACTGGATAAGGACTCTGGGGTTTATTCTAAGAGTGATGGGAAGTCGTTGGCAGAATCATAAGGGGAGAGTTATGTGTTCTGTCTACATTTTAAAATGATCTCTCTGAACGCTCTTTGAGGGTGGGGAGAATGTTCTGTGGAGGGCTTGTTAGTAGGATGGCAATTTTACAACTTTAAGAACTCTGTCTTAGCCTAATCTTTGCTTAATGGTGAGCACTTGCTTGTGCGTCTACTACGTGCCTACGTGTTTCAGGCTCTTTAGAGGTGTGAGCTCACCATAACGAACTTTGAGGAAGACAAGCATCACTGATTTCACACACACACACACACACACACACACACACACACACACACACACACACCCCAGGCTCAGAAAGGTTAAGTGACCCATCACGAGGTGCAGTGATGGTGATTAAGTGCTGGGCTAGAGATGGGCTCCCAGCTGTCTGGCTCCAACCCCCATGTAGCACACAGGATTAACAGATGCTGGGCTGTCTTTTCCTGAAAGGGTCTCGGCACAGCATAGCTGGAGGACTCAACGGGTCTGGGGCACAGGCAGGGGGTGAAGGGGCTCTCGTGCTTGGATGTTGGCTCCTCTGATCACCTGTCCTTCCCCCTAGCGCCGACCAGGCCCTGGACCGGTTTGCAATGAAGCGGTTCTACGAGGATAAGATTGTACCCATTGGCCAGCCATCTCAGAGAAGGTGGGTCTCACAGCCCAGGGCACGCATGTGTGTGCTCGCTGTATGTGGGGACTGGCCTTGTATACCCATGGGGGGTGGGACAATGTGCCTAGGTGGGGTGGGGGCACACCAAGCACGCCTGTTCAGCAGCCAGCCAGGAAGGGTCTGAGCTCAGGGACATGGGTGAGTGTGCCCACAGATGGGCATAGCAGTTGGCTCCCAAGCCTGGTGCTGGAGAGCAGCGGGGGTATGTGTGGGGGGCGCATTGGTGTGGGTACAAGAGGGCAGACTGTATGAGAAGGCAGTTCCATTCTTGGTCCTGAAAATGGAACTGCTTCAGTGTTTGGATGAGTATAGGAAGCTGAGGTCCCTGCCCTGAGTAGGTCACACATACCCTTAATAAGAGTCACCTTTTACTGGGAAAGCTATCAAGGACACTTGACCACATGGTCTCATTCGAGTCCACAACAACCCAGGTGGGAACAGGGCAGGGACTGACCCTGTCATTCATTTGGCAAATTTTAGGTGGTCTGTGCTATTTTGAGTGCTAGAGATATCTGGTTGAACAGGACACAGTCCTTTGCCCCTAGTGAGCTGATGGGTGGACATTATACAAGTAAATATACAAACAAGACACTGTTAGGTAGCGGTTAGTTCTAGGGAAGGAGGGGGGTAGCGTTCTGCAGAAATGAGAGCTGACGGGAGAGGGACGGGGCTGTTTGAATGACTGTGGCCAGGGACTGCCTCTCGGAGGAGGTGGATTTGAGCCCCAAATTGAGTAACGATGATCTACCTCTCGACAATCTAGGGCACCCTCATTTACAGGAGAGAAGCCTGAGCCCAGAGGGAAGGGATGTAACATGACCAGGGTCCACAGAGAGCAGTGGCAGAGCCAGAATGTATTCAGGGACCTGCCCCCTGGTTGTGACACCCACATCCCGAGGGCCACCCCTGGATTCAGCTCTGGGACAGCTGTTTAGTGATGTGTCCCCAACTCACATCACTCTTACCTTGCTCGCCTCTCTAGAAATGCGCTGGCACCGCTGGGGATTGTTTCCGCCATTGTAGTGGGAAGCCCTAGCAGAAATGAGTGAGTCCTCAGGCAACCCAGTGTCTTACAGTTGGCACAAGGCAGCTGGTGGCCAGCCTCAGGTCAGCTGGATCAGAAACCGGATATCTTTACATGGAGAAAATCCTGGCTAGGCTGCCAGACAGAGCAGCTGGGGATCAATGAGAGTGTTCCCAGGGAAGACGTCTCAGGGAGGGAAGAACTATCGCTCAAGTACCCGCTCCTCAGTCCCTGGCTTGCCTGGCCTTGGCCACGAGTCTGGCCCTTGCCATCAAAGGACAAGGGGTATAGCTAGAGGAGCGTGATGCTGTGGTGGCATACTGTGGTTTGGAGAGAGCAGCTGCCTGCTTCAGAGGAGAGAGTAGTCACTCCTCTGAAGCTGGAAACCTGGAGAATGGGGATCAGTGCTGCCTCCCAGGAGTAGGGTCACGCAGGGGTTCCACGGTGTTCAGTGTGTGTGTGTGTGTTTACACTATCTGTGTCTGCCTCGCAGCTCGTATCAGCCCCCACATCTGCTTAGGGGTAGGTTATTCTGTTTGTTCCCGAATGTGAAAGTGCCACTTTCCCGCCTTCTCTTGTCAGTGTCACTGGTAAGGAATGAGGCAGTTGGAGGAGAAGAGGGCAGGGTGAGAGGGAGGGAGGGGCTTGGCCTGCGGCTTTCCCATTCATTGTCACCCCACCTCCGGACTCATTGTCCCCAGCACACAGACACATCCTGTTGGCTTGATCAGAAGTTCTGATAGGAACCCGCCATTCCAGGTTTCCGGTTTGAGTAATGGGGCTGGGGGCTGGGCAGGGGCCTGAATAGGAGCTGGCGCTGCCCATCAGATTATCTTGCTTGGGTTATCCAAGGTGGCCCCACCCCGGCCCAGGGACAGAGGCCCACAGGCCTGGAGGTAGGCCAAGGAGTGAAGATATAGGAGGGGATTTTTATCATGGTCATTTGGGTTCTGGTCCCACCCACCTCAAAAGCCCCTGTTGGCTCCCTCGGAGTCTCAGATGTGTTATGATTGGTTGAGCTGATGCAGCTAGCTGTCCTCTGGCCAATCAGAATAGAAGGAAGCACTGGCCAATAGCAGAAGGATTGGCCTCTGTTCCCGCAGATGCACTGGAGTTAGACTTCTTACCTCCTCTCCCCATTCACTCTGAGCTCTTTGTGTTCTTGCTGTGTGACTTTGGGAGGCTCATGACCTTTTCTGAACCAATTTTTTCCTTTCTGTTTAGAAGGAGTGGGAATAGGTTAATCCTTCCATTTTTCCCAACAAGATCTTTGTTAAAAGAATTGGGAGATGTTGACTCTAGAGCTAATAGTACTTAGTGGAAGTTAAATATCTTCCAACACCAAATGAAATCTAGAGAGACTTTCTTGCACTTTGACATGAAATAAAAAAAGTGAAAGCCTCTATTTATTATGCTCTTATTATTCTCTGGAGGGTCCTGTGGCTGGCGGGCCTGTGCGGAGCTGACCCAGGGCCCGTGGGAATGAATGTCAGCTTGGTTTGGGCTCTGGATAAGGATGTCAGAGTTGCCTGATGGTCATCAGCCTATCTCGTGTAGTGGTGAACAGTTCAGGGATACCTGTGGGGAGGAACTTCTGATCCAGTAGGAGATTCCTGGGCTGGGAGTGAAGCAGGAATGAGATGCTCATGTTGACCACCAGGGGTCGCTGGAGAACCCCAAATTGGGGGTTTGGCCAGACCCAGCTCTAGGTGTAGTAGTGCCTGCTTGCCCTTCCTACCTGGGGGCTTCAGGCAGCAAGGGAGGTCTGTGCTGTGCTGGCAGACCCCAGCCACGGGGAGGCCTGGGGGTATTGGCGGGTGGTGGGGGCAGGCTAGTTGGGACCACCTAGGGCAGTGTTCTGGGGGAAAAGAGAACGCGGGATGGCTCTGCCCCAGGGTGGGCCTCCTTGGCTGAAGCTGCCCCTGTCCCGGCTCCAGGTACGTGCATTACTTCAGCGGCCTGCTCTCTGGCACCATCAAAATGAACAACAAGCCCTTGTTTCTTCACCACGTGATCATGCACGGCATCCCCAACTTCGAGTCTAAAGGAGGTACGGGCTCCAGCCCTCTGGCTTCCCACCCCCTTCTGTTTTCCATCTCCTCCGAAGGGGCAGCCATGGGTGGTGACAGCGCAGGCTGGTGTTGGAGGCTCAGCTGCCCACTTCCTGAGCTTTCTTTAGCCCCAGTCTACTCATTTGCAAAGTGGGTTCGACACTCACAGTCCCTATTGACGGATGTTGGATGTGGCCATGTTTTGTCAACTTAAAATGACTTGGGGATGAAAAGCTGGTATTTCTTCCTCTTTCTTTTTCCATTGATCCTTTCTCTTTTTCTCCTTCCTCTTCCTCCCCCCCTTCCTTCCTTTCTCTCCGACTTCCTTCACTCTCTCTTCTCCCTCTTCCCGCTCCCACTGTCCTGCTGTCTCAGCTAACACCACCCTTCCCTGACAGGGTGTCGGCCATTTCTCCGGATCTACCAGGCCATGCAGCCCGTTTACACATCTGGCATTTAGTAAGTATTCCACAGGAATGAGAGGCGTGGATGCCACAGCTCCGAGGCTGAGGACCAGGAGCCAGCGGGGTGTGTGTGTGTGGGTTGGGGGCCTCCTAAAATCCCTTACAGGAGAGGGCTAAGGGGTGAGGTCAGCAAAGCTTCCCAGTGACCTGGTGGCAGAGGGCAAGAAGGGAGAAAATGAGCTGCCTGCCCCTGCAGCGGCCCCTCTTTCCCTTGGCCCACCTTCCCCCACAGCAACGTCCAGGGAGACAGCCAGACCAGCATCTGCATCACCATTGAGCCTGGGCTGCTCTTGAAGGGAGACATCTTGGTGAGCACTGCCCCTTTGCTTGTAGCCCCCCCCTTGTTTATTTTTCTCCCTTCTCTCTTCCTGCTCTCCTCCTGCCTCTCCTAGGCAAGACCTCACTCCTGCTGGGCCACCAGCCTTGGGGTTGTAGGCTCTCAGGTCTCTTGCAAGGCCTTCCAACCTCTGACAATCCTTGTTCATTCTCCTGCCTTGCAGTCAGACATCCCTTCTGCTGGGCTTACCTCTTGTTCTACAAGAGCTGGGGAAATAGCTATCAGTGGGAGCTGTTACCTCTTGGCTTCTGATTGGTGACAAGGACTCCCTCGATTTTAGATTCAGCCCTTCCTCTGTCAGTTTGAATCTGCTCCTACTTTTTCCATTCTGATCTGTATGCAGGAAATTCTTGAGAGGTAGTTTTGTCCCCACGGGGTAAGACTGGCCTCCAACTCTCTGCTCTTCTAGAAGTTTCCCCAGAGAGCTCTGAGATCCCGTTTGGTGTTGGTGACCTCTCTCTCACGGGGACCCAGTCTCGGGTCTGATAGAGAAGCACCCTGGGACCTGGTTCCCCAGCCTCCGGCTCCTGATGGGCTCCGCTCTCTTTCTCGTACAGCTGAAGTGCTACCACAAGAAGTTCCGGAGCCCAGCCCGAGATGTCATCTTCCGTGTGCAGTTCCACACCTGTGCCATCCATGACCTGGGGGTTGTCTTTGGGAAGGAGGACCTTGATGAAGCCTTCAAAGGTGGGCCCATTGCGTGGAGAGGTGGATCTAGCAAGGGATCGTTCTGTCACAGGGTAGAAGAGCAGTTATGGAGGAGGACATGGCAGCAGCGGAGAGGCGACTGTTTCTGAGGGAAGAGGAGGTGGTCAGGGAGGTGTCTCCTCCTTTTTTTTCTCTATTCATTTGAGGTTTTATCTACGCTACATTCAGGACTGGGACATATCCATATCCATCCATCCATCCATCTGTCTTTCCATCTGCCCACCCACCTACCCATCCAAAGTTGTCTGTCTGTGCATTTATCTACTCACCCATCCATCGATCCATCCACTCACCTACCCATCCACCCACCCGTCCAGATCTATGCCTCCATCCACCCATCTACCCACACATCCAAATTCATCCATCCATCCATCTGTCCATCTGTCCATCCACCACGCATGTGTATATGTGTCCATTTATCCAGCTACTTGTGTGTATATGTGCCAGGTGTGCGCTAGATCTTGGGGATACAAAGAGAAAGAGGTGAGCCCCAAACCTTAGTGAGCTCAGTCTTGTGGGAGAGCAAGACACACAAACATGATGCTGTGAAGCGATGCCTTCAGTGATAGAGGCATGCGCAGGTGTGATGGGTGCCCCAGCGAGTGGGCCCCATTCCTGATGTGACTTCACTTGCTACAAGCAGTATATGGGGACCTGTGTCCAGACTGGGCTCAGGCAGAGAGCAGAGAGTGGGGCGGGGACTCAGGGGAGGAGGGGCATGACCTCCCAGTGGAGTCTGGCTGTGCAGGAGAAGGGTGTGTCCCTGCACTGGCGCCAGGAGGGCAAAAGCAGAGGACGCCTCTGTGATTACAGAACAGAACAAATGTTATCAATTGTAACAAGGAAAACTAAAGGAACGGTTGACACCGTAAAGGTGGGGTTGGTGAGAGACGGGAGAAAGAAAGGGGCATAAATTCCTCCTCTTACGTAGAGGGAGTCAGGACACCGTCAAAAATGGATGGACCAAGAAGTAGAGGCTTAACTGCAATATTTAAAGTTTCGAAGGTAATCAGTAGAATAAATGATGATGATGATAAAAATAATAGCAGATTTTAGGAGAAGGGAGGTGAGACTAGTGTAAATGAGCCAAATCACTCATCTTCCCAGAGATAATCGGTGGGGATTTAAAAATACTGATAGGTCTAGAAATGATGCCATAAAACCTGTGGCTGTTATTTAGAATCTCAGAGGTAACTACCAGTAGAACCAGTAGAACGAGAAATAGAAATGGGTAGAAATGGTTACCTCAGGAAAGTAGGACTGGGGCTGATAAAAATATGTAATCAGTGTGTGCATGCATATTACTTTAATCTTTTCTATAAGAAAACTTTGTATGGAGTTCTGTTGTGAAACCCACTGCCCACTTTATTTTTCCTTCTCCTTTTGCAGATGATCGATTTCCAGAATATGGCAAGGTGGAATTTGTGTTTTCCTATGGGCCTGAGAAAATTCAAGGTACCAGCCAAGTTAGAACCCATTCATCATTCACTCCCTTCCCTCTATCCTGGCCTGTCCCCACCCCTCCTTCACCATTGTCCCCCTGATCTTCTCTACAATTGTCAAGCTACCTGTGACCGAAGGCAGGCCTACCGTAAAAGATCTGGGGGTCATAGTGGACCCCAGCTAAACATGAACCAGTGACTTAATCTCTGGGTAACAAAAATAAAAGAGCAGACAGAGAGGCGCTGGGTTGGATAAACTATTCTAGCTCCATTAGGTCATCACCCACGTATATTTAGAGACCAAGGGCCATGGAGGATGGAGGGAGTGGCTGAGGGGACACTCAAAGGTACTAGATAAATGATGAGTATTTCTGAGAACCGAGGTGATTCAACCTGAAGATGAGAAGACCAACTTAATAATAGCCTTTGAGCCTTTAGACTGGTTATATATGGAGACCAGTTGTTCTCCATCTTTTTGGGGGACAGAATGTGAGGACACGAAGTTAGGTTACAGACAGAGGGACTCTGGATGGATTAAAGACAGGACTGCCAGGTCGGGAAGGTGACTCACCCCGAAGTGTCTGACTTGGACGAAGCCCGTGCCGTCTTCACTCTGGACTTTCTCTGGATGTGTAGGAAACCTGCTGCCTCTCTCCTCAGACCCCCTCCTGGGGTGGAGAGCACTTTAAGTAGTGGAGCAGGGGGATGACCTGGAGGACCCTGTGTCCTCTCCATATCCAGGCTGTGAGCCCCGCTCCTCCTACATGGCCCTCCCCCCACCACCTCCAGGGGTAGACTAGTCTCTGCACTGCCCCTGGGCCACAGAAAAGAAAGGGGCAGAACTCATGCACTGGGTCCCCCAGCTTTCCCTTGGGGGGGTCTTCACTTCTCAGTGCCCTGTCCTCATTTCTCCCTATGACCCGGTATGTGCCTTCTCAAGAATGCAGGAAACCAGACCCCTAGGTTCTCTGTCCAACTTAAGCCACTGGTCCCGCCCCGCCAAGGTCAAGAAAATGAGAAGTCCCTTAGAGAGCACCCTTGGGGGATCTTGTTGGCTTCCTCTGTTTTCTCAGCTGCTGGTCTCTTTTTTCTTTCTCCTCACTGTCCGCCCCCCTTCCCCACCCTTTTAGGCATGGAGCACCTGGAGAACGGGCCGAGCGTGTCCGTGGACTACAACACCTCCGACCCCCTCATCCGCTGGGATTCCTATGACAACTTCAATGGGCACCATGAGGATGGCCTGGAGGGTAGGTGGAGCCCGTGGCTTCCTGCCACTCTCCAAACTGCACAGCCCCTGGGCCTCGGCTCTCTTGTTTGGCACTGACACCATGCTGGGTTCAAAGGGCAGGCAGAGGAGACATCCGAGGCCCCTCTGAGAGCTCACAGTTCCGTGGGAGACAATAAGGCAAACGTGAATGTGTTAAATAATGAAGACAGAGCTTTAAAAAAAACAATCACAAACAGCCACACCAGGAGGCGCCATTGGTGCCGAGAGAGTCCCACGGATGGTGAGTGCTGGCTGGAGTGGCCTGGGAGGGCTCCTTAGAGGAGGTGTCCTGGGGTGGACCTCGAGGTACCCCCTGTGATGCCAGCCCAGCCTTTGTGGGGTTTCTCGTAAAACCCGCTGCCGCACATCTGCAGCCTCCCTGCCTGAGTTCTCTGGGCTCGGAGCACCAGGAGTGTGGACAGAGCATCAGGGCCCACAGGCTTTCATCGACCGCCAATGAAAACGTTTGAGAGCTGGAAACAAACAGAGAGGCTCCAAAGTTTGAAAAGAAAGCTACAGAATGGAAATTAATACATGTTTAGCTGCAAACCTAACATTATGTCAGATGGTCAACAGCAACTCTGTTCAGCTCTTGAGAGCTATATATGGGGTTATATTTATTTATGTGGTTCATTTGAATATGTGAGATGGGATGCAGGGCGGGGCCTCCGAAAGCGCACATGCCCGGAGGTCAGGAACTCTTGAGACACCCTGTCTGGGGTTTGGCCACAGGCTTGTTTCCCTGATTTGGTCCCAGGACCGCGGAATGCGGTCCTCCTGAGGGAGGACCCTCAGGACCATGGGTCCACCCTTCCATCAATTTTCTGTTGGGGTAACTGAGACCCGCTTGATTTATCCCCATGAGCTGGGACGAATCTCTTCAAGGACACCAGTGCCCAGCCTCTGGGCTTCTCCTTCCAGCTGAAACTGATTCTGGAGAGGGACTGTCATCTCCTTGGGACCCTGGGCCACGTGGCAGGGCTGTGTTAGGGAGAGCCAGGCACCCTCGCCCTGCCTCTCACCTCCCTCTCCAAGGTTCTGGATTTGTGGACTCTACCCTGAACGTCTTTTAAGCTTTTTCTTGCGTAAAGATTCTCCTGGCCTTGGAGACACCAGAAGGAGCGATGTGGGAGGAGGGTGGTGTTTGGGTTAGAAGGTAGGGCCTGATGAGAGCGCATTGTTCAGTGCGCAGCGTTGCAGAGTTGAAGTCTCCTCCTCACATCTATCCTTGCTCGCCCCTGGCGTGCGGGTACCCCACTCCGCCCAGGCGGCCCCCTCCCCACATCCCCAGCCCCGTCCACTCGTGCTGAGTGGCTGAGGAGGGAACAGAAGGAGGCAGAGGGTGGAACGAATTAGTCCTGCGGTCCCGGTGGCTGTCAGCCTAATTGTTCGTCTTTTGGGGATGTTTGCATTTTTAACAAGAACACTTGGCAACTGAAGGAATTTTCAATGTCTTTCCATCTCTCCCTGGTATGGATTCAATGCGATGACAAATGTAAAAACATTTGGTAAACTCTAAAGTGCCAGGAAAATAAAAGGTGACATAATTAAGGGGGAAGAAGGAGTGGCTGTGGAAGGCCAGGGCTCGGGACACTGTCGGCCGGCCGGCAGTGAGGGAAGGAAGGGGGGCAGAGGGAACAGTGAGGGTCGGGGGAGGAAGGAGAGGGTGAAGGGGGGCCCTGGCCTGCTGTCCTTTCTTCTGCGGTCTGCTCCTCTAGGCCGGGGATGGAACCAGTGGGACCTTTTGGCCCGCGAAAGGTCAGCTTGTCCTATAGGGACAGAGCAGCTCCTCTCTGGAGGCCGAGAGCTGGCTCTGTGCCTGAGGGCAGGCAGGGGAGGCAGCCGGGTGGTCACCCACCAGTCCCACTGTGTGGGTACAGCCCAATCCCAGGGACAGGAAAGCGAACTGTGACCAGCCCTGGGGCTGGGTACAGGAACATTAGCCCCATCCTGCTCTTCCTCCTACCTGGGGTACTTCTGGAAGGCTCTAGATTCTGGGGCCCGGACATAAAGCATTTTGTTCTGGCCAATTCTCCAGTCAAGAGAGGGACGCCGAAGTCCCGCGTCTGTCTCCCTAGTTGCGGACAAGTCCCCATGCCTCAGTTTCCCCATGTGCCAACTGGGGTGGGGGCACCTAACCCCCCAAATTCTGGGGTGCTCAGGAGTTGGAGCATGGGAGGGGGCGTGGCCTTTCCCTGGAGTGGTCCAGGGCTGGGGGAATGGCCTGGGGGGTGATGGGGGTGATGTGCTGCCCCCCCAGGCAGCTCTGCCGGTTCTCTGGGAGGTGCTGGGCTGGGAGAGGCCGGCCGACCCTGAGGTGTATAGTGCGGTGGGCAAGCGTGTGTGCTTCGGATCCCGCCTGCCAGGGTCCCAAGCCCAGCTCCCTCCTCTGTGGCTGCATGTCCACGGTCAGGTTATTTAGCCTTCCCGTGGTCCCTCGTTTCCTCATCTACAAACTTGGGGCAGGAATAGTATCGCGTCATTGGGTTATTGTAGCAATTTTCACAAGAGGCAGTTTAGTGCAGAAGTCAAGAATGTGGCCTTTGGAGCTAAACTACCCAGGTTCAAATCCTTTGACGAGGTGCCGTCCTATTGTGGCCACAGTTTGCTGCCAAGTGGGGATTTAGGGAACAACGTTTGGGGACGGGCAGTTGTGGAGAGGCTGCCTGCTGTGTTTTCTCGAGAGTCCTGGGCCCGGCGGTCGTTTACCATGGCGACATCTCAAGGGTCCGCAGATGGGACTAAGGTTGAAGGCCTTTTGGCCTTGAGAGCCAGCTCTGGTTTTGCCACGTGCCAGCTGTGGTGCCAGTGCTTGACCATGACCTAATGCTCACAGGCACCCTGTGAAGTGGGCTCTGTCATTACGGCTAGACGGGGGACCCGAGGCACGGAAGGTGAAGTAATCCGCCCAGGGCTGCCTGGCTGGTGAAGAGAGGTTCTGGGTGTGAAAACCCACTGCTAAGCCTGGAGCCGTCCCGGGCTGGCTGACGTCCCCAGGGGCCTATTCTGGGTATCGGGTCCTGTGGCAATGCTGGGGCCCTGCTGAGCTTGGGTGAGTGACCGCCCACTTTACCCCCTACTTCTAAGCCCTGGACAGACCCGGTCACCCTGGTCCTGCCTCCACCATGAGGAAGGTTTAGCTGTGGTGGTACACGCAGCGCGGCGCCCTGGAGGCCATGGGGCTGGCCCAGTTCTCGTGCTAGCAGGACTTCAGGGCAAGGAGCAGCCGAGACTCACGTGTCCCTTCACGTCTCTCCCTGCCTCCCCAAGGGGTGAGGGGCTGCTCACTCTGGAATGAGGGAGTAGCCTCTGCAGATAGGTACAGTGTGTCCAAGGTGAGACCAGGCCATTTCTGGAAGCAGCCTGCCTCTCCTATTTTCGGCCTGCCAGGAGAGTGGAGAGGAGAGGCCGGGCCAGGCCAGTTCCCCTGGAGCCCGCCGGGTGGTGCAGAGGGAGTGGGGGTGGCGGGGCACTGAGCCAGGCTCCCTGGAACAGAAATAGTCTCTGGCCTGGGCCCCACCTTGCCCCCTCCTTGTAGTGAGGGGTGGCCAGCACTGGGGTCAGAGCTTCTGTTCCTCTGGGAAGCCTTCCAGGTGACCCTGACTTAACCCCCAGTGCCCCGACTGTTCTGTGTTTAACCCCTTCCTGGCTGCCTGCATCCCCATCCTCCCAACTCCTAATCCTGGTTCCAGGTGTGTGGTACTGTGATGCTTAGTGAATTCTTCCACTGGCTAGGACATCCCTAACTAATAGCAGCAGCAAGATGAAGGGAGAAAGAACGGTATGGACGGGGCCTTCTGTTCTCTGTAGGCTGACCTCCCAGGCTGGGGTGGCACAAGCCAATCGTAGGGCCCATCAGCGGGGATGCTGAGGCTTGGGAGGGGAAGGGACCTGCCAACGAGGGCGGCAGTCCCCATGTGTGGAACTCAGCTTTGCACGATCTCAGGTCCGGCTGTACCAGTGACCACACTGCAGTGCGGCAAGATGGGGGACACCGCCTGCAGTTATGAGAGAAGAAATGGAGCTGATACTGGAGTCTGGGAGTCTGGCTCCACATCCCTTTCCACCTGCCTCAGAGCTCAGCTTATTCAGCACCCCCACACCCCTAAGTCAGGGGGCTCCCCAACTTCTCAAACCCTTAGCTGACAGGGAGCTTGCTGCTACATAGAGGGGCCCATTTCACTCTGGACAGGCCCGGGAAATAGAACCAGAAAGAAAGGGAAAAGGAAGAGAGTGTGGACTGAGGCTGGGGTGACCATGGTGCTTGGGGACCACTTTGACTCACCTGCACTTAGGCCAGAAGGAGGGGGAGTGAAGAAAGGGGAAGAGTGGATGGAAGGCAATAGCAAGAACTTTTGAGCACAGACGCTTCCAAGCCTTGGGATAGGTGACTGAGGGACTGGGGAATACCTGCCGTCTCAGAGACCCCTTGCTTCAGGAGTGGCACCCTCTGGTGAACCTGACTGCCTGGAGTCTGAGATCGGGCTGCCACAACCAAGTAACACAGAGTGAGCAGCTTAAACAATAGGCATTCATTTTTTTCACAGTCTGGAGGCCATAAATCTGAGATCAAGCTGTTGAAAGGTTGGCTCTTTTGGAGGCCTCTCTCCTTGGCTAATAGTCAGCCGTCTTCTCCCCGTCTCCTCACTGGACTGCCCATGGTGTACCTGTGCCCTAATCACCTCTTATAAGGACCCGGCCAGATTGGATGAGGGCCTACCCAAATGACCTCTTTTTAAATGACCTCTTTTAAGGCCCTATCTCCAAATATAGCCACATTCAGAGGTACTGGAGGTGAGGACTTCAACATACAAATTTGCCAGGGGGGCATTCAGCCCATAACACCTAGGAAGGCATTTTCTGGGTTTCCCCTAGTCAGATGCCTGAAGCCTTAGTCCTGGGTGGGGAAGAGAAGGTCCAGGGTGGGTGCGGGGGAGATCAGTCTGCTTCTGCACCAGCCTCCTCCTCGCGGGCTGTCTC